TTAAAATTAATAAAAAAATAAAAGTTTAAATTTGGCGCCATTCGCGACCAATCAGTACACCGTTTTACATAAAAAATATATTTTAAACTGGAAAAAAGAAGAATTTTAAACATGGGAAAGTAGTAGGCCATAGTCTGTCAATAAAAAAGAAGAAGATTAATTAGTGGTTGTACAATCGAAAGTAAAAGTGTACAATTTTGACACTGAAAGTTGTACAATTCAAAAATCCCTAGGAACAACACTGAATTTCTGAACAGTTCTGTAACCATTCCATTGTATTCGAAACCAAAACAATGCCAGAACAGTTGAATGTCAAAAAGTAATTTGTAAATAAAAAAGAAGAAATAACACAGGATTAGTGTCTAGGAAGAAAGAGGCCACATAATTTTGTAAAACGTAGATAAATTAAATAATTTATTCGTAAAAAATCAACATCAACTAATCAACTGCTCCATTCTCATTAGTCATTTGAAAATTCCTTGTAAAAAATCCAACACAAAACATGGCCAGGATCTCAAAAACAAAATTACTTGCAAAAAAGCGCAAGCGCAAACATATCAATTCTGAAACAGTTCTCGCTTTAGGCCAGAACCGATGTTACTGTTCGAGAATGGTTATGGAACCATTCCCAAGAAAAACCAAAACACAGAACTTACAGGGCTGGAACTCTGTGTCATGTAGAATTCTACTTATCGCTTTCTACAATAGATTATTTTGTGGCACTCTGTGTAACATAGCGGAAAACCAACGAGTATATACTTACTACAGGATAACTAGTTTCATAAGAAACCACATTGCGATATTTCCCGTGCGGTTGATAACGTATTTATCACAAAAGAAAGTAATCGATTCCATTGTAGAAAGCGATAAGTAGAATTCTACATGACACAGAGTTCCAGCCCAAGTTCGGAACAGTTCTGGCGAAACCAAAACAGCAAATATCTACTGCGCAAGCTCCAAAGGTTCTGGAAGAGTTCTAGAAGAGTTACAAAAATGAACCAAAACAAAGCTTATGCACGGCCTTCTTTACCTTTAGATAAAAACGGCCATGGCTTATGTTAACTCAGCCTTGCCTGTCGCATTGGTGGTGAACACGATGTACTAAAATGACATGATAATTAACGCGTCACTTTTAAAAATTGTGCTACAATTTGCAAATTGAAATCATGCTTTTTGTAATAATTATTAGACCGACAGCCGTCATATTGTAGGATAGTTAATAAACAATCATAGAGAATTCATTGAAAATAATTTGCTTAATAATCCTTGCCATAAAATTTTTCAAGTTTTTAATGATAATGTGAAATCATATGTTTATATTCAATTCATTCTTACAACATTGCTGTTTATAATTATGACTCAATTTCCTTGTAATTTTGCTTTATTAATCTAAAAAGCATGATTTAGTAATACGTTGTTAAATGACAGAAACGGCCGCCATTTTTAGTCCATTTCCCGCCTTAATCATTTTAATTTAATTTTAGATTTATATATAAATATTTTTTATTCTTATTATAGTAATTTATATGTATGTTGTAATTTTTTATTAATTTTTATTAATTTTTGTTAATTTTTATTAATTTTTATTAATTTTTATTAATTTTTATTAATTTTTATTAATTTTTATTAATTTTTATTATTTTTTATTAATTTTCATTCATTTTTATTCATATTTTCATTCATTTTTATTCATTTTTATTCATTTTTATTCATTTTTATTCATTTTTATTCATTTTTATTAATTTTTATTAATTTTTATTCATTTTTATTCATTTTTATTCGTTTTTATTCGTTTTTATTCATTTTTATTCATTTTTATTCATTTTTATTCATTTTTATTCATTTTAATTCATTTTTATTCATTTTTATTCATTTTTATTCATTTTTATTCATTTTTATTCATTTTTATTCATTTTTATTCATTTTTATTCATTTTTATTCATTTTTATTCATTTTTATTCATTTTTATTCATTTTTATTCATTTTTATTCATTTTTATTCATTTTTATTCATTTTTATTCATTTTTATTCATTTTTATTCATTTTTATTCATTTTTATTCATTTTTATTCATTTTTATTCATTTTTATTCATTTTTATTCATTTTTATTCATTTTTATTCATTTTTATTCATTTTTATTCATTTTTATTCATTTCTATTATATTCATTTTTAATCATTTCTATTAATTTCTATTAATTTTTATTCATTTCTATTAATTTTTATTCATTTCTATTAATTTTTATTAATTTTTATTAATTTTTATTAATTTTTATTAATTTTTATTAATTTTTATTAATTTTTATTAATTTTTATTAATATTTTTAATAATTTTAGTTCATTTTTATGATTCTACCATACAAAAATCTAACCACATAGCACATCATTATTTATTTATGGTACAATTATAATTTTCAAGCCCCAACGTTCAAAAAATTTATGTTTCCTATACAAATTTTTATCCCCGTTTTCCCCCCTTGAAATGTGAAAATCCAAAAACCACGAAACACATCATTTTTGATTTTTAATCAATAGCTGTAATTCAAATTTTTATGTTTCAAACTTTAAATAACAAAAAAATATATACATAATATTAAACAAATTTCCCCCCCCCCATTTTCCTCCTTAAAATGTTAAACTGCAAAAATCCTGAAACACTTCATTATTTATTTATGATAAGAACCTATAATTCCAATTTTCAAGTTCCTACCTTTAAAAAAATCGATATCTCCAAATAAACTTTCACCCCCATTTCACCCCCTTAAAATGTGAAAATCCAAAAACCCTAAAACACGTCATTATTAATTTATATTCATTAGCTGCAATTCCAATTTTCATGATTCTAACTTTAAAGAGAACCAAAAACATAGATACTCCCAAATAAATTTTCACACCCCATTTCCCCCCCTTAAAATGTGAAAATCCAAAAACCCTAAAACAGGTCATTATTAATTTATATTCATTAGCTGCAATTCCAATTTTCATGATTCTAACTTTAAAGAGAACCAAAAACATAGATACTCCCAAATAAATTTTCACACCCCATTTCCCCCCCTTAAAATGTGAAAATCCAAAAACCCTGAAACACGTCATTAACAATTTGCAGTCAGTAGCTGCAATTCCTATTTTCATGTTTCTAACTTCATAGGGAACAAAAAAAAACAATAGTCCCATACAAACTTTCACCCCCCGTTTTCCCCCCTTAAAATGTGAAAATCGAAAAACCCTGAAACACATCATTATTTATTTATGCTTAGTAGCTGTAATTTTAATGTTTCTAACTTTAAAGAACAAAGAGTTGCATTAAAAGCTCCCTCCCCCCATTTCCTCCAATTTCCCCCCTTTAATGTTAAAATTTTGAAAAATCCTTTCTTAGCGGATGCTTATGTTATAAAATAAACCTATATTCCAAATTTCAGCTTTTTAGGTTCAGTAGTTTTGGCTGTAGGTTGATAGGTCAGTCAGTCAGTCAGGATAGATTGCCAATTTCCTATCTGCCCTTACTATTATATAAGTTATTATCTACGATTTCACCATCATGCACTGACTCCTGTAACCATGTTTCGACGGCAATTATAATATCATAGTCTTCATTAAGACAAGATCTAAAAATCTGATGTGTCCAACACATGACTTTCCTATCAAGTTATTATAGGCATTTTCCGGTTATTTTGTACAACCTATTGCAGCATCTCTATAAATGTTTAGAGGATAAACTAAATATATACATTTTACACATACATCTACCTCGAAACATTTTTTTTATAGATATTCATTGAAAACGAAAATACAGAAAAATTTAAATTTAGCACTTTTCCATTACGGTCCATTTTAGAAAAATCATGTATAAACAAAAATTATAGAAATCGATATCGCAAACAACTTTTAGTTCAACAATTTTCATAAATATCAGAATTTTGCACATTTTGTCAAATTTCTCGAATACGGACCATTTCAGGAAATTTTGACATAAAACAAAAATTATAGATAAAAATATTAGAAGTAACTTTTATTTGAACAATTTTCTTCCCCAAACATAAATAACAGATATATTCCATAAAATATAAAAACGGCCTCCCATAAAGTACCCCCCCAGATGTTCCGACTTTGTCCAAAATCTAATCATTTCACGTCAGGCCGAAATAAACCTTAAGTTTAAAATTTAATGTTTTTTCCTTTATCCGTTTTTGAGTTTTCTTCAAATTTCGAAATTTACACATTTTGTCAAATATCTCGAATACGGTCCATTTTAGAGAAATTATGTATAGGACAAAAATTATAGAGAATTATATTACAAATAACTTTTATTTGAACAATTTTTATAAAAAATTATTTTTTTTACATTTTGTCAAATTTCTCGAATACGGACCATTTTAGGAAAATTTTGCATAAAACAAAAATTATAGATAATTATATTAGAAGTAACTTTTATTTGAAGAATTTTCTTCTCCAAACGTAAATAACAGATATATTCCATAAAATATAAAAATGACCACCTATAAAGTACCCCCCCAGATGTTCCGACTCTGCCCAAAATCTAATCAGCT